TTGTTGGTATTATTGGAGGAATTGACCTCCAGGTCAATTGTCTGTGAGGATCAGCTGAGTCTATGCTGGGAGAACTTCTGTGCTGGAGACACCCTTATGAGACAAAACTTGCAAAAGTCTCTGAGTTCAGCTTGGATGGAGCAGAGTCTCAGGGCTGAGCAGACAGCAATGGCTTCCCATTAGCCCTGCCCTAAGAGGCCTCCGGGGTCTCAGTGTCCCGCGGTAATCACTGCAAACACCTCTGAGAGAAAGCCACCCTCAAGATTCGCCCACTCCCAGACAGTCCAGTTTCTCCCTGAACAAGTCTGGGTCCCCAGAGTCTCACCCGGAACTGGAGTTCAGAGTAGTAGAGAGCTTCTGTGTTCCTCCCAGTTGAGAAAGCCAGCCATATACTCAGTTGCAAGCTTTCTCCGCGCACGGGCCTCTATACCTCTGCCTTCCGAAGCTCCTCTGAGTCTCAGTGTGCTTTTTCCTTTCCTTCTAGTTGTAGAATTTCCACTTAGCCAGCCTTCCTGTGGTTCTGGATGTAGTTTTGTCTTTTAGTTGTACTTTTAAAATTGTTGTGTGAGGCAGCAGTTTAGCTGTTTACCTATCCCACCATCTTGGTTTCTCCTCAAAATTCACTTTTTAGATTGGTGCCAGTGTGGAGAAGTGATGAGTTTGTGTTCCAAAATACCCAACTCCCCAATGGTTTACAGAGAAGAGGCAAAATCATGTCATCACAAACAAGGGGTTTGGGATTATTGATGAAAGTGATTGGTCAAGAGTGAAGTAAGTAAGGTAGATCATGATGTCAGGTCTTGAGGTGAGCTTTGTGGTCCCGCAGTTTGGTTTCATGGGGGTCATTTTACTTTAGGGCTCAGGAGCTAAAACTCAATTTAGGGCCTGCTGTTATCTTCAGTTTAAGGAAAGCCATACCTTGTGACCACTAGTTAGTAGGGCTTGGCTGTTGTTTCTTGCTGCCTTAGGAAGTTAATAAAATGTAAGGAAAATGGCCAACGCTATGGAGCATGTTGTGAAGAAACTGAATTGAGTGCTAGGTCTAAAGTAGTACCACCCAAATTAAATCAAAATCATACATTAAATCAGGCTCCTCAGTTGTACATAGTTTAGATGTCAGAATTTCTGCTGAGTATTTGAAAGTCACTGAAGTCAAGACACATGGCTAAAATAAATACTTTTTGCTACTTCATAAAAAACAATAATAGCCTCTACTTTTTTACTTCCTAGTTCTTAAGTCTGTCAGAGGAATATGTACCTTTTTTACTATTTTCCTGCATTGGTGCAATTAGCTTGGAAATGCTTATCATTGGGGCTGATGACATTGTGTTGGATACACATTAAGTGTATAGAAATTTTGCTTTTGTATTTTTTGCATAAAAGAATAATAATAAAGATCAGTAGTCCATGTTTCATAAATATTACTCAGATAAGGACACATAGTGGGGTGGGAATTTGAAGTTTGTAAAATATAATTGCATACATTTAAAATATATATATATTTTTTAAAAGGAATTTTTCTTTTTCTTTTTTTTAAAAATATATATTTTATTGATTTTGTACAGAGAGGAAGGGAGAGAGATAGTTAGAAACATAGATGAGAGAGAGTCATCCATCAGCTCCCTCTTGCACACCCCCTACTGGGGATATGCCCGCAACCAAGGTATATGCCCTTGACCGGAATCGAACCCGGGACCTTTAAGTCCCCAAGCCGACGCTCTATCCATTGAGCCAAACCGGTTTTGGCAAAAAAAATATTTTTTTTATAATACACTTAAAATAATATTTTCTTTTAATTTCAGACTTATATCTTAATAGATGTTGAAAAATAGATTCCTAAAATGTTAGATTTTACCACATTAGTTCATTCTGTCTCTTTTTCTTTCTCTTGCTATTATATATGCTATTATCTGTGTAATATATAATACACACACATATATAATATATATTATATATATTATATATATTATATATATATATTCACATACACATACACACACACTAGTATATGTATGCACACACAGACACCACATATTTTTCATGAACCATGTAAGAATAAGATACAGCCGAAACCGGTTTGGCTCAGTGGATAGGGCGTCAGCGTGCGGACTAAAAGGTCCCAGGTTCGATTCTGGTCAAGGGCATGTACCTTGGTTGCGGGCACATCCCCAGTGGGGGGTGTGCAGAAGGCGGCTGATCGGTGACTCTCTCTCATCGATGTTTCTAATTCTCTATCCCTCTCTCTTCCTTTCTAAAAAAACAACAATATATATATATATATATATAAAAGAATAAGATGCAGACTTAATGCACTTTTATTTCTAAATATTTTAATGTGTCTTTCCTTATGAGAAGACATTCCCTTACACATAGCCACAGTACAATTTTCGAAGTCAGAAAATTGGCATTGATTAGTGCTATTATCTGAGCTACAGGTTATTTTCACATTAGCTAGTTATCCAATTGTATTCATATATATATATATATTTTTTTTAAAACACTTTCTTTTTCCTGTCCAGGATCTAATAATCCAAAAGTCTCCTTTAATCTAAAACAGTTCCTTTGTTGAATTTTGATTTTCATGACTTTGACAAATAACGCAAGCCATTTATTTTGTAGAATTTCCCTTAATTTGGGTTTGTCTTGTTTTCCCTCATAAGATTCAGTTTATGCATTTTGGGTCAGAGTACCACAGAAGTGATGTTATCATACCAGAAATCTGTAGAGGCCTATGGTACTTTCCTCCAAAAACATTTTTTTAAAAATTACCAGCTTTTTTTTTAATTTTTGTTTTTATTTACTTTTTAAAATTTTTTTTATTGTTTAAAGTATTACATGAGTCTCCTTTTTCTTCCATTGACCTCTCTCCGGTCATTCCCAGCCCCCAGCACATGCCCTCACCCAGCTACTATTCTGTGACCATAGGTTATGTCTATATGTGTGCATAAAAGTCCTTTGGTTGCTTTCTTACATCTCTCTCCCCTGCCAGTTTTAATATTACATGGAAAGCAGAGTCAGAGAGTCTCACATTTGTCAAGATATTATACATTGTCATATTCATTCTCCAGTTGCTTTCTCTTAAGAAAATTTATGGCCTTTTAGTTATCTTTTACCAGGTGGAAATTGCTGGGGGGAAAAAAAAATCAGGATAGAGGCAGAAAGAAAGAGCTGGTGTACTTGAGCTTGAAGTGTAAGGTTTAGAGTATATGTTTTATGTGAATGAGCATTGCAGGGATTTAGCTTTTAAACCCTCGATCAAGAACGATGAATTATTTATTCTTATTTTGGAGTATTTCTGCCAAAACACTGAAATCAATATACTAATCTCCTTTTAGAAGTTTTACACCTTTCCAAGACAAACATTCAAATATATTGAGTAGGAAGGTAGAGAAAACCCTGTTTTATCTGGTAGAAATAAGAAAACATTTAAGTTTATTAGAACAATATTCAGTATTTATTATACTACTTAAAATATCAACCCTTTCTATATTAGTGCTTGTTCCTACCGCCTCTCTGAATGATCAAGAAACAGAACTTTCAGCCTACAGTATAGTTTATTTGGCTTCTATCAGCAATAAAGTTAGTTTTTAGTACTGACTTGACTTTGTGCAACTCTCCCTTTCCTTCACTCTCCAGTTGATTTATGATAATCTGTTACTCTAATCTAGGCAGTGTTTATTGTGATTGGGGAAAGTTCAGATTCTAGCTTTGCCAAATGATAGTTTTGTGAAGTGACTTAACATTTATGATAGTTTATCTATAAATAAAAATGAATGAGTCATTTTAATCACCAGACTGCAAGCCTTAAATTCATACAATAAAATAAGCATATTTCTTGTGTTTTATTTTTACAATGTTTATTTAAACATTAGTACAGTGCCACTCTGTAGCCTCTATCGATTAGTTGTATTTCTATTAAAATGACACACTTCTAGATTTTTGGTATAAAGTCTATATTACCGCTACATAATCATCTATTTGAAATTATGTACCAGCTTTTCTAAGTTTTTAGGGCTTTAGAAAAATTTCAAATGCTTCTTTACTTATATGTCTTTATTATAAGGTATGGCATATATAACAAAAACTAGAGGCCTGGTGCACTTGGGGGGAGAACATCGGCCCGGCCTGCACCCTCTTGCAATCTGGGACCCTCATCATGTCCAACTGACGGCTAAGGCCCGCTTCCCAGCTATCGGGTCTATGCTAGCAGTCAGACATGCCTCTGGCAGCTTGGGAGCACTTGGGGGACGTCCAACTGATGGCTGATGGGGGAGCAGGCCTAAGCCATTGGTCAGACATCCTTAGTGCTGCCTTGGAGACAGGAGAGGCTCCCACCACCACCGCTGCTCTGGCCAGCCGTGAGCTAGCTTCTGGCTGAGTGGCGCTCCCCCGCTTTTGCTTATCCGTTCCGTGGTGGTCAGTGTGCATCATAGTGACTGGTAGTTCCCGGTCATTCAACACTTAGGGTCAGTTTGCACCCTTGTATTATATAGGATATTTAACATTTAAAGATGACTTGTCCAAACTTACTTAGCTGTCTTGGTCTAGAGTCTATGAGGCTGGCTTATTTTTGATGCTCTAGTATGAGTTTGAAAGGACATGCCATGCCCTAGCTGGTTTGGCTCAATGGCTAGAGCATTGGCCTGCAGACTGAAGGGTCCCAGGTTTGATTCCAGTCAAGAGCATGTGTCTGGGTTGCGAGCTTGATCATGCTGGGGGCATGCAGGAGGCAGCTAATCAATGATTCTCACCATTGGTGTTTCTATCTCTATCCCTCTCTGAAATCAATAAAAAATATATTTTTAAAAAGGACATGCCATAATCACTGTGTTATTCCAAATTTTACATAATTTTTTTTCTTAATTTGAGTCATTTTCTTAATTTCTCTATTTTATTGTAATGATTTCTAGTGATACTATTACTAATGAACTTCTAAGAAGGTTACATAGTTCACCATTGTTTCTCATAAAACATAATTATTGCTCCTCTTTTGCTTATAGGAACTCATTACACAATGACAAATGGAGGCAGCATTAACAGTTCTACACATTTACTGGATCTTTTGGATGAACCAATTCCAGGCGTTGGTACATATGATGATTTCCATACTATTGATTGGGTCCGAGAGAAATGTAAAGACAGAGAAAGGCATAGACGGGTAAGTATTTTCAGTCATCTAAAAATATATAGTCCATAATTAGATCCTTTAATAATATATTTCTGCCAGTGATCTCTTACTGTCAAAATATTTTATATATTAAGTAATTTTAAGCATTTTTAAAGTTTATTTATACCCCATATCTTTCCAGAAAGGATTTGAGGTATCTTAATAAAAATAAAAAAATCTGTAGTAAGACAAAATAGAAAGGAAAAGGAAAACAGGGCCCATTAGAAGGGAAGATTAAGTCAAGTTCAAGATTTGGAAGTCAGCATGATTTTGGGCTTTGATCAGCACAGCAGCAATAGCAAAACAGGAAACGTTACATAATTATCATTATTCAAAAGTAATTACTTTCTGGGGACATAGTTTTATGCAGTATTGTTCTTTTATCTCTTTTCTCAGTTTTTAAATTCTGGAATGTTTCTCAAATTGATATTGAGTGTTGTAATTGCTATTCAAAAAAAGTGTCTTTTATTAAAGAATACAACTTATGGATTTTTCTTGTTATGGGTTGTGACTTACTGGTATAATGTAATCCAAAATTACATTTTAAAAAAAGAGATAGAAAGAAATCTCTTTTAAAAAATATATATATTTTATTGATTTCACACAGAAAGGAATTGAGAGGGACAGAGAGTTAGAAATGTTGATGAGAGAGAAACATCGACCAGCTGCCTCTTGCACACCCCCCACTAGGGATGTGCCCGCAACCAAGGTACATGCCCTTGACCGGAATCGAACCTGGGACCCTTCAGTCCGCAGGCTGACACTCTATCCACTGAGCCAAACCGGTCCCGGCAGAAAGAAATCTCTTTAACCGCAGAATTTCAAATTCCACAAAGCCCTTTGTAACTTTGGAGTCTGCAATATATATATCTCAAAGTCTAAGTGTCCATCCAACCGTCTGACTGGTAGCTTTGACACGCACTGACCACCAGAGGGCAGACACTCAATACAGAAGCTGTCATGATGCGGACTAGCCATTTACAAAGAAACAGCATCCTGGACCTGGCGCCTACAAACAAATACTGGCCCCACCATCACCCCATAGCGACACCCCACCAAATTGCAGCAAATGCTGCTGAGACCTCATGGTGCAAAATGGAAACAGTGGCTGTGGTGCCAGGTAAAGACATCACGTAGCAATGTCCAGTTTCCTCTCCCTAGCTACTAGTGTTCTTGGAGTTTCTTCAGCCCAGGAACCAGACTTGCTTTATAGTCAGGTGCAGACATTTTACAGTTTAAATGCCTGTGAAGAGTTTTCCCTTGCCTCATCTTATTTGATCCTCACAGAAGTCCTGGAGGAGGTAGATATGAGAATCTTATTTTCTTTTCATTAGCTGGAAAACAGAGATTTGAAAAGTTTAGAAACTTGATCCGAACGAAAAGAAGTAAGAAATGGTGGAACTGGAAAATGACTAGGTTTTCTCACTGCACAGAATATAGTTAAACACTGCTATAGTTAAATATTTTACCCTTTGTTCTCTCTGCGTGATCTACAATAATAATCTGCTTCATGTTGGTATTTACTGCTGTGTGGCTGACAGTTACCTGAAAGAGAAGATGGGGTGCTTTACTGGGCTTGAAAAAGTTTAGCTAAATCAGAAAGCAGGCCTAATTAAGCCAGTTTACCGTTTTTTACATATATAAAAGGCTAAGTTGACTCATGTATGTGTGATACATATAAAGTTCTCGCTGGTGCCGTCCTATGGGACAGTTGAGCATTGAAGTCCTACTCATAGGATATTGCTCCCCCACCCCTTTTTTCTTAGCCAATTTTATCTCTGCTAGTAGTAATATAGTTTCTAGAATATGGCTTTCCCCCCCTTTTTATTGAATTGATTGGGATGACACTGGCTAACAAAATTATACAGGTTTCAGGTGCACAGTTCCACAACACATCATCTATGCTATATTGTGTGTTCACCATCCCAAATCAAGTCTCTGTCCACTACCATTTATCTCCTCATACCCTCCTCCAGCCTCCCCCACTCAGCCCCTCCCCCAGGAATCAACACTGTTGTGTCCATGAGTTTTTTTTATTTCTTTTCAATCCCTCTACTCCTTCTCAACCCACCACCTCCAGCTGTCATCCTGCTCTCTATGTATGAATCTGTCCTTTTTTTGCCTGTTAGTTTATTTTGTTCATTAGATTCCACATATGAGAGGAATTGGATGGTACATGTTTTTCTAGAATATGATTTTTTAAAGCAGTGATGATTCTAGTAAAACGGATTTAGGTTTAGAAGTGCATGCTCACTAAGAGAGGAAGACTTGGCTTCTTGTGTCTTAGTGAGATCTGGAAATCAAACCTGTTAGCACCATGCTAATCTCACCTCCTCCACATTCCACGGACACATCTGCTTTTCACGGTGGTAAAAGAGGGCCTCTGGACCTGCCAGTGGGACAGAGCTCCTCACTCCTGCCTATTTACAGACCTATACATTTATTTGTAAATTTATTTTTAGAGTCCCTTTATTCACATGAGTGTTTTGTACTACATTCATGGGCATGAGACTGTTATTCGCTGACCTTACATTTAAAGAATGTATTAATCCACTTGGGTTCTAGGAGCAGAGAATGACTAGGGAACGATCCGTACTTCAAGCTTTAATGTCTTATTGCTGTGAATATAAAAGATGCATACCAGCTAAATTTGATACGGTTTAGACCATTCTGGGTCACACTTTATATGGTTTGTGGGTGGATCCTTTGTGCTAAAATTCTGAGGTTCTTATTAAAATACATATCTCTGGGTAAATGTTTGTCATTGGTCTCCAGGTATAGCAACTGATAGTGGTTCCACCCAAAACTCACCTTTCCCATTATTTTGTGTAGAAAGTACTGTCCTGTGTATAATAACTGAGAAAATTGTTAGATTCTAGAATTGTGGCTTCTAGTCATAGTTTGAAAATGAAACACAAGCATTTCTAATTTCAGATCAACAGCAAAAAGAAAGAATCAGCATGGGAAATGACGAAAAGCTTGTATGATGCGTGGTCAGGATGGCTAGTGGTAACACTGACAGGATTGGCATCCGGTAAGAAAACTTTTTATGCCGTCCTTTTCTGGCTAACAGAACAATAAATAGGTCTCTCCTTTCCACAATTTTTTTCAGGTATTGTTGGATTTTTAAAATCATTTTTATTTTGTTTCTTTCCTCTAAAAATCTTAAACACAAGACTAGAAGGCGGGAGGTTTCTGAGTCTCATTTTGGCTCTTTCCAATTTTTAAAATCTTTCTGGGTTCAGTTTCTATATGTGTAAAGTACATGGTTTGGACCAGATGATCAATAAAATATCTTTTAATGTTAACTTCATAATAAGTAATATTTATTGAATATTAATATTATTCCTATGTGTCATACACTGCTCTAAAAGCTTTATGTATATGTAAACCTCATACAATCCTATGGTATATGCCAGTGATTTTCAACCATTTTCATATCATGGCACACATAAACTAATTACTAAAATTCTGTGGCACAGTAAAATGTATTTTTTGCTGATCTGACAAAGATAGGTATAATTTTATTGTTGTTGTTAATTCTCAACTGAGGATATTTTTACATTGCCTTTTCAGAAGGGGAGGGAAGGAGAGAGGTGGAGAGAGAGAAACACTGATGTTAGAGGGACACATCAACTGGGGTGGGAGTGAACCCAACCCAGGTACATGCCTCTGACTGGAAATCAAATCAGGTGTGGTGCACAGGCCGATGCTCTAACGACAGAGCATGCCAGCCAAGGCAAAAATAGGTATACTTTAGATTCATTCACACCATGCAGCTATTGTGTTGGCTATTGTCCTTTTTTTTTTTATTTGACAATGTAAGGGAAAAGAGGTCAGTGCCCCTGACTAAATAGTCAGGTATTGCATGTTTTAAAAATTCTTGCAGCACACTGGTTGAAAATCTTTGATATATGTGTTATTATTATCACCATTTTACAAACGAGGGGACTGAAGCACAGACAGAGGTCATATAAGAAGTACTAAATGGCCAAGCAGATTAAAATACAGGCAGTTCAGTTCAAAAGCCTACACTTTTAACCTCCATGCTAGAGTAACCACAAAGTCCTTATGTGTGAGATTTTTAAGAATAGCATTGAAGATCTGAAAACAAACATTAAGGACTGTTTTAATGACTTTCAGTTTCCACTGTGGAAGATATGAGAAAAATTTAAAATTTGTGTGCAGAATAGAGGGAACTACTGATATGTCTAACTGACATGCACAAGAATTATATGATTCATTGATCTTTTTATATGGTGAAAAGGATCTAGATTTTGTCCATAAATTTGTGCACTTTTTTGTATTCTGGCAGTAAATGATCTTGATGTATTTGATCTTTTGTTATTTAAGAAAGAAATGAAAATCTATCATAGTAATTAATGCTAGGAGTTTCATTAATTATTTCTAATGGACATTACATTAATTTTGTTAACTTTTGGATTGAAACATATTACTAAAGACTCTGACTTCAGTAACCAGGTTTGTGAACTTTCTGCCAGTTAGCTATCTTTTGAAGATGTTTTAGTATCTTTTAAATACTTTTTTAAAAATCACACTTAATTTGAATGATGTAACTAGTTTTAATTTCAAACAAAAAACAACAGCTTTAAAGAATAGGAATTTTTAGTTTTTAAAAAATAGTATGAACTTATGATAATGAAAATTTGAAAATCTTAAATTCACATTATATTACCTATATGAACCTTTATTTGTAGGAAGTCTCCTGTTTTCCTTAGCTTTTTTAACTTGATAGTTCTTAACTCCTGAAAATGAGCTTAATTTTTTTTTTTTTTACCACCTCCTACTTGTTTTTATAGGGGCATTGGCTGGATTAATAGACATTGCTGCTGATTGGATGACTGACCTAAAGGAAGGAATTTGCTTTAATGCTTTGTGGTACAACCATGAACAGTGTTGCTGGGGATCTAGTGAAACAACATTTGAGGAAAGGGATAAATGTCCACAGTGGAAAACATGGGCAGAGTTAATTATAGGTCAAGCAGAGGTAAGTCTTCTTTGTCTCAAGATGAATTAATAATTGCTGTAGAGAAATGAGTCTCCAAATTAATTTAATTATAGAGTTAACCACATATTAGATGATTGCAACCTGCATTAAAGGGGAAAAAAAGAAATATAATAAGATAGAAAGAAAAATTTGAGGCTACTTTACAGCAAGTAAAATTAAGTATTATTTCAAGAAATTTGTATTATTTACACAGTCACACATATGAATCTACTGGGCTATGATGTAAAATATACTTCTTATTGTAGAAAAAAAGTGTAGTAGGATCTGTGTAACCACAAAAAGTTTTCATGAAGTCAGTTTACTAAAACTGCTTAACATATATCACAATTATTTGGGAAGTATGAATTGTCAAAAAATTTAGTAAAATAAGGCCTAACTGGTGAAATCTTGGAGAAATCCATAGATTTTTCTTCATGGCATTACAGTATTGAAGTGTGATTATCCTGTTCTTGATGTTCTATAATGATGTTCTATAATTTTAGGAGTTAGAATATTATATAATATGTTACAGGATCATATATGATACATTATTAAAATTTTGCTATTCCTGAATTTAGAAATTAAAGTATAGCTGAGGCTTTTCACAATAAGACTAAGGTTCTTTGGGATGGATACAAATATGTTTTCGGTTTCTACCTAAATGTTTGTTCATGTAAAGCTTTTATTATTGTGGAAGTAAATAGGAGCCTTTACAAGTTTTACCTATTTCTTATGAGGCAAGCACTTGCATTAGTGGTGCATTATAAATTAAATTCATACTACTGAACTGTTTGCTTTATAGGGTCCTGGTTCTTACATCATGAACTACATAATGTACATCTTCTGGGCCTTGAGTTTTGCCTTTCTTGCTGTTTCTTTGGTAAAGGTATTTGCTCCATATGCCTGTGGCTCTGGAATTCCAGAGGTAAGACATGCAATACTTAGTACTAGTATCCTTAAACATTTAGTAATTGTTATGATGCTTATCTTTTTTGCTTCCAGGGAAAGTAGTAGTTGTTGTTTTTTGTTGTTTTTGTTTGTTTGTTGTTGTTTTATGTGGGGGGAATGGTTTGTTTGTAATATAAAAAAAAAAAAAGTTTAGCTCTAGCTGGTTTGGTTTAGTGGGTAGAGCATCAGTCTGCAGACTGAAGGGTCCTAGGTTTGATTCCAATCAAGGGCACATGCTCAAGTTACTGGCTCCATCCCCAGTGGGGGCCTGCAGGAGGCAGCCAATCAATGATTATCTCTCATCATTGATATTTCTCTCTCTCCCTCTCCTTTCCTCTCTGAAATCAATAAAAATATATTTAAAAAACAAAAAAGAAAAGTTGAAAAATATATAAGCTTATTGTAGATATTGAGAGAAATTCTGCCCTATAGACATTTCACCATTTACCTTGGAGGTTGATTTTTTTTTTTTTTCTTAACACTAATTTATCACATGGCTAAACAAATAGCTTAAGACTAAGAACCTGAAGAAATATCTTGTAGCCGGACGTTATTTATTTTTTAAAAATATATATTTTATTGATTTTTACAGAGAGGAAGGGAGAGGTATAGAGAGTTAGAAACATCAATAAGAGAGACATTGATCATCTGCCTCCTGCACACCCCTTACTGGGGATGTGCCTGCAACCAAGTTACACGCCCCTGACCAGAATCGAACTTGAGACCCTTCAGTCCACAGGTCAACACTCTATCCACTGAGCAGCAGAAGAGGTGGGGGGGTGGGTGGGAAAGGTGGGGGTGGCGGGAGGGAAGCCTGCTGGAAATCTTGCAGGAATATTCCTGCAACAGGTGCCTAGTATGTAACATATTAGTTAAAGCTTTTGAAAAATTAATTGTAAATTGTTCATAGTCCACCAAAGTTTATGAGGTGATATTCTGAGTAAAACAAGAGAGTCACTTAAGATAGTTAAGTTCTCATGGTTCTTTTTAAAGGATATCATTTTGTCTTAATCTTTTCTTTGTAGATTAAAACTATTCTGAGTGGATTCATCATCAGAGGTTACTTGGGAAAGTGGACTTTAATGATTAAAACCATCACATTAGTACTGGCTGTGGCATCAGGATTGAGCTTAGGAAAAGAAGGCCCCCTGGTACATGTTGCCTGTTGTTGTGGAAATATTTTTTCCTACCTCTTTCCAAAGTACAGCACAAATGAAGCTAAAAAGAGGGAGGTAAGTAAACTTTTCTAGTATATTTGATACATAAATATGTATAATACACTTAATTTAATTGAATAATTTTCTAGTGTAAAAATCACATTTACTCTTTATTTTTTGGGTACATTTTGTGTTTAGATTAATATTACAATGGGGCGCCGAGACCGGTTTGGCTCAATGGATAAGAGCGTCGGCTTGGGGACTGAAGGGTCCCGGGTTCGATTCCGGTCAAGGGCATGTACCTTGGTTGCGGGCATATACCCGGTAGGGGGTGTGCAGGAGGCAGCTGATCGATGACTCTCTCTCATCGATGTTTCTGACTCTCTATCTCTCTCCTTTCCTCTTTGTACAAAATCAATAAAAATATATTAAAAAAAAATTACAATGGGAAAATTGTTTGCTTCTTTTTCTTTTTGTGAATAATCGCAAATTGCTCCTTTGAAGTTTTTCTCAAATGTAGTATTATTTTACTCTTCTCTCTCATCAGCAGTATTTCTCCAGGGTTGGAAATATTAACAGCTGTGTTTTCCTGAAGTGTCTGATGCCAGTGGGAGTGTGTGTCATCTGCAGAGAGCTGTCTGGCACCAGGGGGAAGTTCCGAGGGCTTCTAGATGGCCTAAGGTTTAAATCAGAGATTACATTAAAGGAGATGTAGGAACTCCTCTTTATTCAGCTGTTAGGGAAGTTTTTTTTTTTTTTTAATCATTTTTTTAAAGCCCAGCCTGAGATCGTCCCGGAGGTCTTTGAACTTTCATACTATAGTTACCCTGATGTTTCTAGATTGCTCTGGATGTCTTTTAGGAGGAAGGTAGGCTCCTGGGATCTTCTGTGTTAGCTCTAAACTTGGGAGGCCCAAACCCACCCTATTTTCCCAGTCTAATCTGCAGTTCTAGATGGTGCAGTCCTTTGGGTTTTTAAGGTACCGTATTTTATATCTCATTAAATATCGAGAATTCAGGGGTTTCTGGCCCTAGCATAGGAGGCGCTTTCAGCCTGATGTGTTTTATATTACAAAGAAAAAAATAGAGTATTTTTTATCAAACTATTTAATTCCTCAATTGAAATAATTCCAGTTCATTTTAATGCTAGCACTGAAACATTTTTACATTGGCAGTAGTCTAAAAGTGGAACATTTCAGAGCATCATTGTTCTGTCTTTGGATGATAATTGTGACTTAAGTACTAGCCAGTATAACAATGATTTTCTACCTTTTTCATCTCATGGCACACATAAAATAATTATTAAAATTCTGCAGCACATCAAAAATATATTTTTGGCCAATCTGACCAAAAAATAGGTATAATTTTGATTCATTCACACTGGAAGGATATTGTTGCATTTTTTATTTGACAAAAGGGAAAAGAGGCCAGTATCCCTGACTAAATAATTAGGTGTTGCATGTTTTAAAAATTCTCAGGGCACACTATTTGAAAATTGCTATTATGTAATTAGAATAACATTGTTATTGATTACTTACTATGTATCTGATTCTATGTCAGATTCTTTACTTGCACCTTAAAAATTCCATGATAATCCTATTAACATTGCATTATCATTCTCATTTATAGATAGGTATCTAAACAAATCTTGGCTAATTTGCCCAAGATTTCATATCAGAGTGTGGATTAAAATTTATTTTTCTTCCACTCTAAAGTCTATCCTACCCTATTACTACTACTACTACTACTACTATTATGGCTCTGTGGACATGTGTTTATATCTTCTCAAAACAAAACCTAAACTATACTAGAGTAAGTTAGTGGTTAAATGGAACCACAGCATTCATCTCCCCAGTTCACTTCCTTTACTTGCTATTGTATCATGACATTTTGGGGGTGAGATTTACATTTTTACTTATTCACTATAATAATTTGTGCATGGGGGCAGTGTTCCTCAGCCCAGCCTACACCCTCTCCAATCTGGGACCCCTCAAAGGATGTCCTACTGCCGGTTTACAGGGATTGGGCCTAAACCAGCAGTCAGACATCCCTCTCACAATCTGGGACTGCTGCTCCTAACCGCTCGCCTGCCCACCTGATTGCCCCTAACCACTCTGCCTGCTGGCCTGCTTGCTCCCAAATGTCCCCCTGCCATCCTGATCACCTCCACCTGTTCTCCCTGTTGGCCTGCTCACTCCTAACTGCTCCCCCTTCCCGCGCCCTCCACACCCCCCCCTCCCGCTGGCCTGCTCACCACCACCTTCCCTCCCCACTGGCCTGCTCACTCCAAACTGCCCCCCCCCATCCTGATCACCTCCAACTGACCCTCACTGATGGTCTGCTTACCCCAACTGGCCTTCCTGCTGGTCTGCTTACCCCCGACGGCCCCTGCCGTCCCATCCTGGCCTGATCACCCCCCTGGCAACTCAAGGTCCCAGCCCCTCCTTTTTTTCTTTTTCTTTTTCTTCAGTGCCTCCTTGAGGGAGGCCAGGGCTGACTGGAAGCAATTATCTAGGATTTATTTACCTTCTATAATTGAAACTTTGTAGCCTTGAGCAGAGGCCAAGGCCTGCCAGGGCTGTGGGAAGCTTGGCTTCCTTCATTGTCAGAGAAACCCAAGCTTCCTGCTCTGTGGCCATAACCATCTTGGTTGGGCTAATTTGCATACTTGCCCCTGATTGGCTGATGGGCGTGGCTTGTGAGTATAGTGGACAGTTTGCATATTTATCTTTTATTAGTGTAGATTATAAATAGAAAATCTAATTTATTAGAAAACGTTATAGAAATTTAATTCATCTGAACTTTAATAACGTTTATGACAATTTTATTCTGTCACCTTAGTATATAAATGTCTAGAGTTTACCTGTTAGGGTACTTGTTGGTGGAAGCATTTAATCATTTACAATTTAACTTTTATGATTTCTAATTTCTTTTTCAGAAATGTAAAAATTGAGCATTTGAAGAAATGTTTTGGTAGCCTCAGATATTTACTAAAGTAGTGAAAAGAGTAAAGACTCTTAGAAAAGCAATTAGAGATAGATGCCCAATGTGAAGTTGGCTTCACATTGGTGGGATTTGGGCAGTGTCCAAGTGACAGGCCAGGAATGGCAGAGAAGATCCACAAGAGAGTTTATTATGTGGGTTCTGGCTGGTGAGGCTATATCCTAAGGGGCAGCCATTATTTGTGCTGAAAGCTCTCCATACTGGTAGTAGCAGTATTTTCAGAAGACATGGGTTAGTGAAAACATAGGGAAACTCAGCAGTTTTTAAGTTCCCTGGATATTTTACTAGGATTTGGACTAAGGCAATTATTAATGACTAGGGGCCCAGTGTACGGATTCATGCACATTGAAAGGAAATTAATTAGAAGATTCGTGTGTTAATTATGTTACTACAAAAATGTACATGTCAAAATAGTATATTTAATACAGTATTAAAACATGCATGTGATTGTTACCGAGAGCTTTATATGTATCACACATGCACGAGTCAGTGTTTATTTTTAAATTGCCAATGCGCCTCATATGTACCTGTTGGTCAGTTGGTTGGATGGTCAGACGGGTGTACAGTTGGACACAGCCTTTTATATATGTAGATGACACAGTTAGCTCTAAAATATGAAAAAATTATATCCTATTTAAAAATAAGTAAACAGCCCTAGCCAGTTTGGTTCAGGGGATAGAGCGTTGGCCTGTGGACCAAAGGATCCTGGTTTTGATTCCGGTCAAGGGCAATACCTCAGCTGCAGGTTCCTCCCCGGCCCGGGCCCTGTCTGGCTGTGTGCAGGAGGCAACCAATCAATATGTTTTCTCTCACATATTTCTCTCTGTCTTAACCTCCCTTTCCACTTTCTCTAAAAATCAATGGAAAAATATCCTTGGGTGAGGATTAAAAATAAATAAATAAATAAAAATAAGTAAACAACTCTGCCCTCAAACTAGTTACTACTCTTTCCACTGGTCTTTGCAAACAAACATTTTGAAAGTTGGCTATATTTATTGCCTCTTCTTTATATCCCATTTCTATTAGCATATCTTGCATAAGTTTTTTTGTTTTTGTCTTTGTTTTCTGAATATTGAATATATGATTGACCTTTCAATTAAACCAGAAGATTAAAAAAATCTTTTTAGCCGAGACCGGTTTGGCTCAGTGGATAGAGGGTCGGCCGGTGACTGAAAGGTCCCAGGTTAGATTCCAGTCAAGGGCATGTACCTTGGTTGCAGGCACATCCCCAGAAGGGGGTGTGCAAGAGGCAGCTGATCAATGATTTTCTCTCATCGATGTTTCTAACTCTCTATCCCTCTCTCTTCCTCTCTATAAAAAATCAATAAAATGTATTTTAAAATAATCTTTTTAGAGGAAATATGGATTTGCATTTGCTTGGGGAGGAGGAGACAAGTGAGTTAAATTCAGAAGAGTCATTTTGAAAATTCAAGTAATGTGAAGAATTTTTATTTGGCATATGTTTGAATTATAAAAAGATGCAATAAACCACATCCTTTTTTTTTTTTTTTTTTCTTTTAGGTGCTCTCAGCTGCCTCAGCTGCAGGTGTTTCTGTGGCTTTTGGTGCACCGATTGGAGGAGTTCTTTTTAGCCTAGAAGAGGTAGGTAAAAAAAAAAAAAAAATACAGTAATTAAAGTTATATAATTACTATTAAAGTATATTTTAGCATACTTTTCAGTTTTATATCTAGTAAAGTAGGTATAGATTTTGTTTTTAAGTTTTCATTTTTTCACTCATACATAAACACTAATATAATATATATGATCTTTACCTTGAGAAAATCTTTTTAAAAATATTATTTACAAATATTAGTTATAGCTTAAAATTTAACTTGGCTGACATATTAAAGTAAGCAGTTATGAATTTGATTTAATAAAGAAATATTTAAAACGATCTATCCCTATTAGCTTAAATACAACCTTTTTATTTAAAAATTTTAATTCCTAAATCATCTTTGTAAGTCTTTCTTCTGTGACCATTTATATTATAGTTATTGATGTTTGAGGAGATCATTTTAGTTGCTTTAGTAGAATATTTTGTTTTTGTTTTCTCTTTGGTGCTTAAGACTTTTTACTTATTTACACAAAAATATGACTAGGAGTGTTTTAAAATGTACTTTTCTAGTTATTTCTATTTTCTTCTTTTTAAAATTTAATATAGAAGAGGTAAATCAAATACTTCTGTATGAACTCACAGGAGTTGGTGGCAGTACATTTATTGTTAATTACTATGATTGGAAGTGAAACTCATTTTGAAAATAAATGCTAGGTATTATATTAGACATTTATGACTTGATATTGTGAATGTACAATGAGGTGATAGTTAAAGTTAATAAAACATCAATATTTTTATTACCATAATGTAATAATGGTAAAAATCCATTCTATGTAAATTCTAGTGGCAGCAAAATTTAGAACTATGATATTTACTGTTCAAGTTATATCAGAAACATTTTATAAAATTATACCATTAATTTTTCTTTTTCTTCTTTTTTAGGTTAGCTATTATTTTCCTCTTAAAACTTTATGGAGATCATTTTTTGCTGCTTTAGTTGCTGCATTTGTTTTGAGATCCATTAATCCATTTGGTAATAGCCGTCTGGTCCTTTTTTATGTGGAGTATCATACACCATGGTACCTTTTTGAACTATTTCCTTTTATTCTCCTCGGGGTATTTGGAGGGCTTTGGGGAGCCTTTTTTATTAGGGCAAATATAGCTTGGTGTCGTCGACGCAAATCCACCAAATTTGGAAAGTATCCTGTCCTTGAAGTCATTATTGTTGCAGCCATCACTGCTGTGATAGCTTTCCCTAATCCATATACTAGACTCAACACCAGTGAACTGATTAGAGAGCTTTTTACAGACTGTGGGCCCCTGGAATCCTCTTCTCTTTGTGACTACAGAAATGACATGAATGCCAGCAAAATCGTTGATGATATTCCTGATCGTCCAGCAGGCGTTGGAGTATATTCAGCTATATGGCAATTATGCTTAGCACTCATATTTAAAATCATAATGACAGTATTCACTTTTGGTATCAAGGTAAGTGCCAGTGTGGGGTGATGTTTAATCTTGCCATGATCAAAACTTGTATGTGGAATGGGAGATGAAATTTTTATGTAAAGGTGGGTGTTTCATAACTGTGGCCTGGAAAAGTTCTTATCTCCTGGGTTCAATTTTAAGAAATGAAAAAAAGAAAAGAAAAATAAATCCTTAGGATATATTGTTGAGCCATGGTATCTGTTAATTTGTAACAAATTACCCCCCAAACTAACATCTTAAGATAACTTATTTTGCTATTGATAGTGGTCAGTGATTTGGTAAGGACTCAGCTGGCATGTTTTGGTCTCTCATACAGTTGTCATCAGACATGGCTAAGGTTGCTCATCTCATAGCCATTCATTTGTCTGACACCTTGTCTGAGAAGATGCAGACAGCTAGAGCTGGAATATCTGGCCTTTTCTAACATCTCTCCTTCTGTGGTTTTTCTGGAATGGTGCCTCAGGGTGTTAGATTTCCTACATGGTAGCTCAGGTTTCCAAAAGCAGGTGTCCCAAGGGGACCATTTCTAATCTAGCCAGAGAGGTCATACAGCATGCCTTCTGTTGTGTTCTGTTTGTCTAGACAGCCACAAAGGCCCACCCAGGTTCAGGGAGAGGGATATATATTCTACCATTTAGTGGGAGGGGTGTTAGAAATTTTATGATATTTCTAAACCATTTATTTGTTTACTATTGCTGCAATAATAAATTAGCACAAATTTAGTGTCTTAAAAATCACTAAAATTTATTACATTTCTGGAGATAAGAAATCCAAAATCGGCCTTACTGGGCTAATATTAACGTATTTACAGGGATTCTCCCCCCAGCCTTGGCTCATGGCCCCTTCTTCCATCTTCAAAGACAGTAATAGATGGTCAAGTCTTTCTTTACCTCATCATTCTGAAACTCACTCTTCTAAATCCTCCTTTCCACATTTAAAACACCTTTATTATTACTTTGGGCCCAGCCAGATAATTCAGGATAATCTCCTGTTTGAAGGTCAGCTAATTAACAACCTCAATTCTGTCTACAATCTTAATTTCTCCTTGCTACACATAATATAATGAATTCACAAGAATCAGTAATGTATATGGGGAGTTAGCTAAACCATGTTCTTTAAATTACCTGTAATTCATATAATAATATTCTCTAGTGTTAGTATGCTTTCACAACTTACATTGTGGGGAATAACAGCCTGATTTTAACAAAATTGGAGTGGTGTTGAAATAAGGTCTTTTTTTTTTTTTTAATTTTAGTGAGAAAGAGAGAGAGAGAGAGAGAGAGAGAGAGAGAGAGAGAGAGAGAGAGAGAAACAAACTTGATGTTCCACTTATTTATGTATTCATTGGTGACTCTGTATGTTCCCTGACCAGAAATATGGTCTCTTTTATATTATCCTCTGTGTTTAGTCCACATTATATTAATTAAATATAAGAGTTAAATAATAGAAAAACCTTGAAATTTTCCTTTTTCTTCTTAGTGAATCAAATTAAAGGAGTTGTTAAAGCTCCTAGTTTTACAGTAGTTGATTTTCTGTAAAAACAAAAAACGAACACACACCCTCAGTTGAGCTATCAGACACCAGAGGCACATTGCCCTCTGCTTTGGCCTAAGGATCTAACTGGCAGGAGAATGAAAAACATATTTTGATCCCTTCTATTTGGATATCCATTTAATGATCCTGATATATTCTTTAACTTGCCAACACTTTGTGCTCAGCTTATTTCATATTCACAACAGTTTAGAGCTATTCATTTTTTAATAGTTTTTAAATTACCTTGCTTAATTTGTTTACTGTTTCTATTATCCTCATTAGATGCATATGTATGAATTAATTAAAAAGAGAAAAATATTTATTGACTAAACATATATGCATGCATATATACATATAAATATATAATATAAAATCACTTCACAATTATTGGGACACCTGGTAACATTGCCCGCTTTACATTGTACCACTTAAGAGGAATAGCATCTAATATTTCTATCATTTTATAAACTATAATAGTAATATATAGGAAGGACATAATTTTGGAATAAAGGGAAGTACTTCATATTGAGTTGATTTAGAATTATGAAAAATGTTTTGTACTGTCTTTTTTTTTTTTCTTTTTTCTTTTTCTTTCCACATGTTACCATGTACTAATGAAAATTTTGTTAGGGGTTGGCATTAAAGAACCCCTATCTAGAGAAATAGCCCTTGGGTTATTTTTTCTTTGGACTAGAGAATGTGATGTGTTACTTTGTAACTGAATTCATGGAATTCTTAGGATACTGTATAGTATTATTTTGCTAAAAGTTTTAGGATTTTGCTATGTAAATGTGAAAAGAAGCAAAAGTGTTAGAAAGAAATCCACAGAACATAGGTTTCAAGCATGCAGGTGAGGACCGCTGCCTTATCATGTATTCTGTTTTGCCGTAGGTTCCGTCAGGTCTGTTCATCCCCAGCATGGCCATTGGAGCGATTGCAGGGAGGATTGTGGGCATTGCAGTGGAGCAGCTTGCGTATTATCACCACGACTGGTTTATCTTTAAGGAGTGGTGTGAGGTTGGGGCTGACTGCATTACTCCTGGCCTCTATGCCATGGTTGGTGCTGCCGCGTGCTTAGGTAACAACCACTGTGTTTGTCTGTATCTGGATGCCTGTGAGTCTGAGAGAGCTTGCTTGTGCTTAATTGGTAGGGTAGGGTTAGGGAGAAGGTGGGGCACAGGACAGAGGAAGAGAGTGTTTGCACAGAAATGAAACAGTACTACTGTTACATGATACTAGAGGCCCAGTGCACAACATTCATGCACTGGTGGAGGGGGGCTCCCTAAGCCTGGTCTGGGCCTCTCAAGTCCAAGACCCCTCAGGGGATGTCTGCCTAAGCTGGCAGTCAGACATCCCTCTCATAGTCCGGGGCCCCTCGCTCCTTACCACCCACCTGCGGTGGAGGTGGGAGAGGCTCCTGCCACCACCACTGAGCTCTTCAGCCATGAGCCACCTGAGTGGTGCTTTCCCTGTGGGAGCGCACTGACCACCAGGGGGCATCTCCTGCATTGAGCATCTGCCCAGTGTGGTCAGTTTATGGTGATTGGGATGGATGATTAGATGAGTTTTCTGAGGGAGGGAATATTATACTGCTACCATAAATCACAAGGCATCGACATACTTTGCTTATTTTGAAAAAATTTAGAGGAAAGAAATATAGTAAATTAACACACTGCCTACATATCAATTTCATTTGTAAGTTGGTAATAAACAAGATAGCTATGATGTACTTCACCAGATTCTTTAAGATTGAATAATATTCTTTTAAAAAATATATTTTATTGATTTTTTTATAGAGAGGAAAGGAGAGGGATAGAGAGTTAGAAACAACGATGAGAGAGAGAGATTGATCATCTGCCTTCTGCACACCCCCTACTGGGGATGTGCCCGCAACATGCCCTTGACTGGAATTGAACCTGGGACCCTTCAGTCTGTAGGCCGACGCTCTATCCACTGAGTCAAACTGGCTAGGGCAATAATAATATTTTTTAAGGGTGAAATTATGTCTTTGCTATCTCAGTGAACCAAAATGGCAAAGTTGTTTTGGTTGGACAGCTGTGGATTTTTTATAGGAAGCAAGCAGGTTTTGAAATGTTATTTCAAATCTTCTGTGCTATAAAAAAGATGGTTGGTGTTCTTTTAGATCTTATTAAAATAGTAATAATTATCCTAATTGTAGTTTTTGATGATAATGCTTTTCACTAAGTTCTACTTACAATTTGTATTCATTTGCCTAGTGCAAAAATTCGCAAGTATTGATGAGGGTCCTGTCCTTCCTGACCAGTGGTGCTTATTTTTTTCAGGTGGAGTGACAAGGATGACCGTCTCCCTGGTGGTTATTGTTTTTGAGCTCACTGGAGGCCTGGAATATATTGTCCCCCTTATGGCTGCAGTGATGACCAGTAAATGGGTTGGAGATGCCTTTGGCAGGGAAGGCATTTACGAAGCGCACATTCGGTTAAATGGATACCCTTTCTTGGATGCAAAAGAAGAATTCACTCATACCACCCTGGCTGCTGATGTCATGAGACCTCGAAGGAATGATCCTCCCTTAGCTGTCCTGACACAAGACAATATGACAGTGGATGACATAGAAAACATGATTAATGAAACCAGCTACAATGGCTTTCCTGTCATAATGTCAAAAGAATCTCAGAGACTAGTAGGATTTGCCCTCAGAAGAGACCTGACAATTGCAATAGGTACCTATAAAAAAAAAATACACCTTTATAAGTATCATTATCTAGATATCTAGTAGATTTCTGGAAGATAGGAAAGCAATAAAGTTTAATTGGTGGGGTTTGTGGAGTCAGGTCTTATATTCTTTAGAAAAGGAATTTATGCTTTTATGGATTGTTTTCCTGCTAAATAGAGGCTTATCTTTGACTTGGCATTGTTATTAGTTTGGAGTCAAATTCTCCTCCTTTCCCCCTCCCCCAGATAAGCCTTAAGTTGATTATTTTTAATTAACATAAAAGACTTTAACAAGTGCAAGGGCATCCAGTGAAATACATTCTTCTATTTAATAAAGTTGGATTATTTGAATGCAAGTTATTGAAAATTCCATCTTCATTGATCTGTCTCATACCAGATTCACAAGGTGGTTTTTTTTTTCTTTCAGTTTTTGGATTTAGGTTTATAATAGTAACTTATAATATCTAGTTTAAAGTGAAAAAAGTCATTGAAATTTTTTTTTGTTGTTAAACGTCAGGTTGAAAAAGTTTATAAGTGCTGTTGTATTTTGAGCTAAAAAATTTTTAAAGGCATTAGCCATACTATGTTATTTCTTGGAAATAAATTAAACTTTTCCCCTGAGGAGGCAGCAATTGTGTTCCTCCAAAATTGATTTTTCCTCTTATCCAATAGTATTACAGTCTTAATCAGGAGACCCATAAGGCTTCTAGTTCTTTTCTACACAAGCTGACTCTCCCCCCTCACCTTCAAAGGTGATAGTGGATATTTTCATGAAGTTATTGCTTTGATACTCTGCATGTTTTAGTAGAGGACCCTGAGCTGAAAATATCAAGCTTTTGGTCTGTCTCCAAAGGTCACTCATGAGTCTGTCATCTCCCTTCCAACTTATTCCTGTGGCAGTTGCAGAAGGATTATAAAATATTCTCATTTTTGTGCCATTGCAAGAGGAAAGACTAGACAGTATAGATGAGAGTATTTCTCAAATCAAACTGGGAAGAAATTCAATTTGCAAAAGCTGTTAAAGTAGAAATAAAAATAAAAGAGAAGGAAATAGTTTTCGGAGAATATCTTAGTTTAGGAAAAGGCATACACCTTTAGAAGATTTTTTCAAAGACCAGCAATCCCATTATTCCAAGTTTTGCTCTAAGTAATTTCATAGTAGTTGCCAGAGTGGCTAAGTATGTGGTCAGACTTGTCTCTCTCCAGGTGTTTCAGCTTTTAAATCATTGCCATGGCAAACCTACAGTCAGAGAATTTCATTATTTAGATTCCTATTCTTTAGGTTTTAAAAAGAAGAAGATGGTAAAGTTAAGATTTACATTCTCAGTCAGTGGGTGTATTTTTTAGTTTTTGTTATTGTCTTGAGAAATAGAACGTTGGGTTGGCAGATAGTGTTCACAAGGGAATAGAGGTACGTTAGATATGTTTAAGTTTTTGAATGGAAAAAGTAGACCTGTATGATAGGTTTTACACATATAAGCATAATATATAAAAAGCTTTATTAAAGGACAGTTTTGAATACACACTAAACTCAAAATAGATGCATAAAGCTGGCTATTTTATTTTTGTATTCTCTTCATTTCCTGGATTTCCTTCTTGTTCCCATGGTCTCTCCCCTTCTTCTACAGTTTTCTGCCTCATTGCCACTTCCTGTCTAGTACTCAGAGCGGGGAGTGGAGGTAGGCAGCAGGACCGAAGCATGTGAAGCTGAGCACACCGGAGGGGGCAATTATCACAGCCTTTACAGATAAAACCTGGGAAGTCAGTCTGTGCCCATTATGTGCGTAATTGTAGTTTCAACCCACTTGTTCATAGTCGTGACTCATCTAGAAAATTAAACGTTAACGTTAGCAAAGCGAGAGAAGGAGCTGATTCACAGTGGTGAAGTACACACTATTGGCAAAGCAAGGACATAGCTTTTTTCAGTCCCACCTCCCAGGCAGGAGAAGTGACTGTTGGCACAGGCAGCTGTTACTCGATGATGGATTCCTGTAATTTGTGCAGGTTTAAAAATCTCATATTCCAAACATACTTCTTATCCCCCAGGGTTAATAAACAGCTTCAGTGCCACTAAAGACAATTGAACCATGATTTACCAAAAATATATTTTATTTACATGAAGATAGTTTGTTGGTGATGGGATCTGATTCTGTCAAATATAAGAAATGGCTAACTGACGTTTTAGTTTATTTCTTTCTTGTTTAAGAAGATAGGAAAAAAATGAAGGGACAAAAGTCATGGTGTACATTGCTTTATTTGTTTAATCTCTGACCTTAAAGTAAAATAAAACCTGTCAGTTTTCATTTTTGGTCTCCTCTGTCTCTTCAGAAAGTGCCAGAAAGAAACAAGAAGGTATCGTGGGCAGCTCCCGCGTGTGCTTTGCACAGCACACCCCATCCCTGCCCGCAGAAAGCCCTCGGCCCTTGAAGCTCCGCAGCATCCTTGACATGAGCCCTTTCACCGTGACGGACCACACCCCCATGGAGATCGTGGTGGACATTTTCCGAAAGCTGGGCCTGAGGCAGTGCCTTGTAACTCACAATGGGTAAGTTTCAGCAAAAAGTCAGTTCACTTTGTCAGAGGTTTTTATCCCTCTTAGTGGAATACACTTAATAGGAGAGAGTGTAATCAGCTCCCAAGTGGGAAAGTCTGTTCTTAGTGCGGCTATAAATACAAGATCAATCAGATTGACACCAGAGAGTAAGAAACATGTCAACTCCCAGATCTTTGCCAAAGTGTAGTGACATTCGTCAGGCAGAGGTGCTGAAACATCTCCGGCACCTCCGTGGTGCTTCGAGCATTTTCTCCCGTGGACGAGAGGTGGCCCTGACCTGTGTGGAGGACTGTAGACACCTGCTTCCTCTTGTCTTTCGGTTTTAAAATACGTATTTCTAGTGCAGGACAACGTTCTAGATGTTCGGCTGTTTACTGTGTCAGCCGTTATTTAATTTATCATGTAACACGGGAAATAATATATATTTAAATGAAATTTGTAAATTAGCTGAAAATTTCCTTTAGCAAATGCTTTGTTTCCTGTTTTCTTTCCTTTTTTTCTTTTTCTTAAAAAAAAATATATTTTTTATTGATTTTTTACAGAGAGGATGGGAGAGAGACAGAGAGGTAGAAATGTAGATGAGAGAGAAACATCGACCAGCTGCCTCCTGCACACCCCCCACCAGGGATGTGCCCACAACCAATGTACATGCCCCTGCCCAGAATCGAACCCTGGGACCTTTCAGTCCGCAGACTGACGCTCTACCACTGAGCCAAACCAGTTTCGGCTGTTTCCTGTTTTCTACCTTCTCCACTCAGAGATCTTTTACATATAAATACTCTTGTATTTAAAATGCACAAATTGATTATTTTTTGCCCTTTACACATAAACTGCCAGTGTGTCTGAGAATGGGGAAAGTTGCGTTTGGCAAATGTCATAGGGATTGTGGAGGGTGACACAGTATTCCCTGGTCATATACTGCTCCCTCACATTCTGCTCCCTCTGTTCCTGACCTGGGACCTGCTTCCCTCCCATCCTCTCTCTAGCCCCTTTCCCCCTTTATGTTACTGTTCCTAGTTGAGATACTTAAGAACATAGTTTTACCTGAGGCTGAAATGGAAACCTAGAAACGAGGAACAGAGGATTGTGCATAAACTGCATGTATAGCCTGAAGCTGGTTGAAATACCAAACACTTAGAATCACAGCAGGTTTTCTAAAATATTATTTTGTACAAAATATGTGACCCCTATCTAGAGAAAAGAGGGAGAAAGGACAAAAATAAAGGAAATTCGTTTATTGCACACCTTGCTCATTTAACTTTGTAGCCCCTCTGCAGAGTCGGTGGCAGTATCCCGACTTTTCAGATGTAGGAATGGAGCTCGAAGAGGTTTGGTAACTTGCCCAGCCACATGGTTAGCAAGTCAGAGATCAAGGAATAAAATCTCTTTCCAGTTTTAAAACCCAATGTCTTGTTATTGTTTTATAATGTAATTGACTGATAGAATCTTAACCTACTAGTGTTTTCTTGGACATATGATACTGTATTGTGTTAGGAATAGAAATATAAAGCTAGAAAATTACATCCATGTTTAATGGTTTCACTGTGCTAGCCAGTTAAAATAACTCGAGATAATATGAAATAAATCATTAAAGAGATAAAGGTCTTGATTAGGGGCAGGGAGGACGGAATTGTTAAATATCACAGATGCGAAGAATTGTAAGTAGTAAAATAACTTTTTTCTTTAGTGTTGTTTAATTTGAAAAATAATGGTACCAAACTTCACTTTAAAAATGAGTACATGATAAAAGGAGTGACTTCAAATAGCTTTACTGCTTCTTGGGCCCTTTTAATTATAAATGATTTAGTGGGAAGCTAAGATGAGTTGTTATGAACTATTACTTGCTTTGAGTTTTTCTCTAGGACTGTCATGGTGTGTCCTTTTATGGAGGACCAAATATACTGTCATTCTCTAGTCATGATTAACTATGTCCACAAAGCTAAAAGAGTAATTACTGTATTTCCCTTTGCTGATTAATTTCCAGGTTTTGGTAGCACAGACATTGGAAAGTGTATATAGAAGAAAGTGTAAAAAGAATGAAGTGAGGGGAAAGGGAGGGTAGTTAACTAAAATCTTACCTGATACTGTCTATTTGTAAGAAAGTGTGTGTGTGTGTGTGTGTGTGTGTGTGTGTGTGTGTGTGTGTGTGTGTGTGTTTGGGGGTAGAGGGGGGCTTTTTTTCTAAAGGAACACGTTTAATTGCCCTGATTATATTTTCCTTATTCCTGTCCTATAAGGAAAACAGATTGATAAATATGAAAAAAGAAGAGATCCTTTGGGATGGTGGCTCTTGGAATTTTTTCTTTGAAATGTGTAAGAAAGTAGTGTTTTATTTTCTAAATCATTTTAAGATTTAAACTCAGAAAAAAAATTATATCTTCTGGTTTTTAGTATAGACTATGAAGTTCCGGACAATTGCTCACATTTTATAGTTTGTACTGGGTCCTTAGAGGTGGAAAATAACTGTGTGGGGCAAGGGATGTAACAAATCTGGAACCTTGGATGCCAGGAGAAAATGAGACCTGAGAGACCAGGGGAAGTATGTGTGTAAAGATGCCAGTGATAGATGTCTAACTTCTAATTTTAATTTCTCAGAGTCTTCAAGTCTTGGTGGAACTAGCAGGATGTTAATAGTCATTGTCTCAACAGAGTTTTGTGATCATATAAGTTTGGGAAGTATTGGATTAAATATAATTGAGGTTTATTTTTTATGGAACTTCTCAGAACTTATAAATTGTTGGTATTATTTGATTCTCAAATGGGATACTAGAAAACAAGTTTCCCAAACATATTTGAATATTAAACCTTTTTTAAAAAAAATATGTTTTACTGATTTTTTACAGAGAGGAAGAGAGAGAGATAGTTAGAAACATCAGTGAGAGTCATCGATCAGCTGCCTCCTGCACACCCCTCGCCGGGGATGTGCCTGCAACCAAGGTACATGCCCCCGACCAGAATCGAACCCAGGACCCCTCAGTCACCAAGCCGACGCTCTATCCATTGAGCCAAACCGGTTTCGGCTTTTTTTTTTTTTTTTTTTTTTTTTGATGGAGGGACAGGGTTAGGACTCTGGTGTTTGTTTTTTCTTGGAACAGACTTTGAAAAATGTTGGGTCATGCTCTGTTAACTCTTACATCATTGTTTGTTAGTCCATAAGAAACAGCAAATCAGTCTTTACAAGAGTCACATTTTGCATTGATTTTCCTTACATTTCCTGAAATTAACAAAGCAGCACTGAACTGGCCTTATGCTCAAATCACTTTTCTCCATTAATGAAAGAAAAAGGGATTTATGTATTTTCTTCTTTTTTGGGCTTTTACTTTGTAAATATAATCACTGCTTTGTAAAACTCTAAATTTGCCATTTGGTCCTTAAAAACTTGTAATTTCCCCCACCATGTGTACCTTGTGGTTTGGCAGAGCTTACTAATATATATAACGGAAATTAATCACTATATAATAGAATAGAAAAGAATGAAATAAGAATTAGATTAGAATAATTTTAATTGTCAAGTTTTCCACATTTCCTGACTACAAATATAAATTCAAGTGAATTGGTGTTTTTTGTTGTTTATTGACCTTAAACATCAGAGAACAACATCTACTGAGTGAGTGCTTATTTTACGTAGTGCAGTGTCTGAGCTTTTTTGGAGGGGGGCTTGCTCTGCAAAATTTTCAGTTTATTTTGTTCTTAGTGATCAGTACATTAAAAAAAAATAATGAAACATTACCATAGAACCTATTTATGTCTTTCCTATTTCCTACCTTCCCCACTTCCACATCCAGGCATCACCCTAAGGAGCTCTTTTATAACTTCTTACCTTAGGACTAGGCTACTTTGACTGCTGAAGTCCTTTGGAGACACCCTTCAAGAAGTCAAAATGTTCCAAGGCAGTTTAACAGTAAAGTTGACGTAACCTGATCACCAGGGAAACATAAATATGTTCAATTACCCTGAAGGGAATTCTGATGGGCTTCCCAAATTTAAAGATTAAAAGCTTTTTAAGGTGTTTTTAAAAATATATCTTTTTATTGATTTTAGAGAGGAAGTGTGAGGGAGGGAGAGAGAAACATTGATCAGTCGCCTCCTGCACATACCCTATTGGGGACTGAGCTCACAACCCAAGCAATGTTCCCTTGACCAGGAATCGAATCCATGACCTTTTGGTGCTCAGGACAACACCCAACCAATGGAGTCACACCAGCCAGGGCACTTTTTAAGGTTTTTTGACATTCACTGTCTATATTCACTGTCTATACTGTCTATATTCACTGTCTATACTGTAGTTGAATTCATTGACTTTCATTATAAAACTGGTAACCAGAATCTTGTTTTAATAATTGAAAGTTTAATTATTTTCAAGTATCCTGAGAATTTATGTCCATTGTTTTGCTTGATGTTATAATAATATATTAAATGAGAATTAATCGTTTAGAAATAAATTTATAAAGTGCAAGTGATTTTGACCCTCGAATCTTAAACATGTCTTATTTGCTTACCTTAAGAAGTAGCATTCAGTAGGGTCTGAAAATTAGGGTGTATTTGTATGGATCGGCATTATTTATTTGGTACACATTGCCTTTAATTTTAATTCCAAATAATGGTAAAATAAAGGGATTTTTCAAGTCTCATAGGCAATAAAGGCTAAGACTTCTTCTATCTTTACGTTGCTAAGGTAGATCCAAAAAATATCTGCTGCCTTGTGATATTTTAGATGTTAGAAAAATATCTTCTTCAAAGGAGGGAACAGTGAAAATGAACTAAATTTCAGAATTTTATAGTTGTATATTAATTTTTCTGTACTTTTCTTTGTAGTCATCTTCATTGTAAACTTTTATCATTTCGATTTTTAACTTTACAAGGAAAATAACCCATCAGTATTTAAAAATAATACCATGTCACTTTTGAAAGTCAGTAGAATTTATGCAATTGGGACCTGGGATTTCAAACCATTTTTGTTTTTATTTTTCTAGAGTTCATTAAAAGCATTTTTATGGTCCATGTTTTTCTTTCTTTCTTTCATTATCATGATGATTGGAACCTTTTTTAATTTAATTTCTCACAGTTATTAGCATAACATGATCTGTTTCAGGATTGTCTTGGGGATCATCACAAAGAAGAACATATTAGAGCATCTCGAGCAACTAAAGCAGCACGTCGAGCCCTTGGTGATTAGATATATCAGATTTCCTCACTAGACACCTTAGAGGTCAGGAGGCATGAAACTTGTGAACTGTTCCGTTCTCTCTTTCCCAGACACCTGCCCAGCAAAGTCCTACATGCTGCCGATTCCATTTCTATCTCATAATATGCCTGTAAGATAAATTTAAATGTATGTAAAGATTTCACTCATGGGAAGTAAGCAAAAGTTAGCATCTCATCAAAACCATTAGATGCAATTTAAGAACTGTAGAGTTTGGTAGTTGATTGAGTAAATATTACTGGACATTTTAAAAATAGCACAGCTATCTATTTTAGCGCTTAGACCAGTCTCAGAGGATACCAGATTGGTTAAAAATATCTACCCCATCACCCCAAACCCTCCCCCTTCTTTAAAAAAAGAAATGTTTCCTGATCTTGTGGTAAATCTAAGCTCATAAATCATTTTAACTGAGCTTAGCAATGTTAGATTTGTCGACAATTAAATGGATTTTTTTATGGGCACACTAACTAGAGCGTAACATGTATGTGAATATATATGTTTGTGAGCATAGCATTAGTTTTCTGCAATACCCTCTATACCCTCAGTACTTTCAAAGTCAATAATGTGTCTCTTGCCATTTCATTAGTGAACTGGACCTAGAATGTGTTTGTGCCCTTTTTGTATGATGCTTCTAGAGTGCTGTAAGCAGTTTTTCGGGTCAAATGCATTTGTTCTAACAGGCTCTATGTCCTTCCTAGTGGTTTAAAGACTAAAGATACATTTTGAATTATTATCTTACCTTATACCCTAAAAATTGTCTGGCTTTAGCAATAAATGCCTGAAATTATTTTGCCGTGCAATTGTCATACCTATATAAACTTGTCCCAGTTTGTTTAATACACAACTGATTGTGTATTCCTGTTGTATGCTAATATTTCACAAGTGTTTCATGCATCCTTTTAAAAAACTACTAATCAGAATAATAAGTAACTACTCATTCATCCTGCTTTGTGCTTTACTTATACTATTCTAGGACTGCTTCTTGATTATTTCACCTATCTTTTAATGTAAGCACTAACAAATAAGACTTTCATAAAAGCACTGTATCTTAACTTTTTTGGCCAAAATCAAAAAAGGAAAACATTGATGAGTGTTGTCTTACAGATTGGTTCTGGCTTCTGAAGTTTGCTATTGAAGTTCTGTGTTGACCATTTTATCTCAATTGTATGTGCTTTCATGAAGATTCTGCATACAACTGGGCAATGTGTTTTTTAAAAGTTAATTTTAGTTTTAAAAAATGGAATATTGAGGGGATTTGGTCATCAAACATTTTACTGCTTTTTGGTGTGATGGGAATGAATATTCCTTTTCAAATGGGATTAGTATAATTTCTTTTCCATACATCCTCCCATTTTTTGGTTACTTTTTTGTTGGCATTCATTATTCAAAATAGCTCGACTTCAATGACAGTCTCAGTGGAAAGAACATTGTACTATAATACTTTTTATATCAAAGGATGGTAGCTGGGTAATCTGATTATCTTTATCAATAAAATATTTTTGAAATATTTTAAATATATACCAGGCACTTGCTTTGCTCTATTCCTGTCTCCAAAAAGGATTTAGCTATAAATGTAGCTTCTCATTTTCTTTTTCCCTTTTATTTTAACAGCAGTCTTCTCTTTATCCTTTCCAGGCGCCTCCTTGGCATTATAACAAAAAAAGATATCCTCCGTCATATGGCCCAGACGGCAAACCAAGACCCCGCTTCGGTAATGTTCAACTGAACCCCGTAGATGAGGAGAGAGAGGAGGCAGAAGAGGAAGTTCATTTGTTGAATAGCACAACTCTGTAACCTGAGGGAGTCGTCTACCTATAACTCTCCTTTAAACAAAAAGAGAAAGAAAAGAAAAAAGGAAATATGAAAGCCAGGCTTTTGCAACATGGTTTGCAAATAATGCTGGTGGGACGGAGGATTTGTTTGGGGAGAGAAAGGAGAGAGAAGGAAATGAGTGAGGTATTTCCCCATGTAAGGAGAGCAGCCAACCACCTCCTGTCGTTCTGCACTGGATGCGTTCAACTGAGGATGTGCCATGAAAGTGCAGACTTGAGCCCCAAAGGAGAGGGCCCTGGAGCCCTGAAGCACCCGGCCTGTTACTCCAACATCGCAAAGACGTGTTACCAGTCCCCGTTTCTGGAGGGGTTACTTTGAATTGAGCCATCTATAAGACTGCAGGTCTTGCCCTTTTTCAATCAAAACTGTTCTGTTTAATTCATGAATTGTATAATTAAGCATTACCTTTTTACATTCCAGAAGAGCTTCTCTCTCTTTCTGTTCCTCTCTCTCTGTAACAAAGCCTCTTTAAATTGGTGTGCCCTTTTGAAGCAATCCTTTCTCATATTGAGATGTACTGTGGTTTTACTGAGGTTTCATCACAAGAAGGGAGTGTTTCTTGTGCCACTAACCATGTAGTTTTTTTTTACCATCACTGAATGCTTGGAGCCGACACATGCACCATAACAAAGGCCTCAGACAGGTACAGTCTTGAATGAAGCATGAATGAGATCTCTCAGCTTGTGTGCTGTGTGGTTCAGAATCTTTTTGTTTTCTCCCCCCCTCAGATTTTTGTAGATAATGTGACCTGGTCTTATGCATATTTTCTATTTCTAAAACTGCTATGAAATACAAGTACTGTTCATCATAAGGAAGCATCATGCTACTGCTCTGACAGTAGAGAAGTAACTATTCTGTTTAGCTATACCTGGAATTAACTGCATGTTTAAACACTGGAATTTTTTTTCTTCTTGAAATTAAATCAGTCAATTTTTTTCTTTCCTCAAGATATTTTACTGCTGACACTGAAGAAATGTAATTCATAACTTGCACTAAATGTATATTTCTTTTCTTAAAAATTTACCATTCTTATTTATATTTTTATGGATTAAAATTTATAAAATACAGATCAGTTAATATCTTACTTAAATAATTTTACCTTTTTAATGTGATTTTTATAGACTAATTCTGATTTACAAATATGGAGATATGAACAAAGTTTACAATGGGAACAAGGGTTTGAGAGAGGATGTGATTATTTCTCTATAATCTAATGTGTACATAAACCTTTTTCTGATCTTTCACTGCCATCCCCTAGATTCTATCATCTGACCTGTTCATTCTGACTCATTAACTGGAAAGTTGAAACACAACAAATCACTTTGAAGATTAAAATCAAACATTAGTATTTACCTTAAAAAATAACAAAAACAATGAAATTGCAAAGGTATCAGTTAAAATTGTAATCAAAACATCACCTTTGAATAGTTGGGTATGTCACATCCAGAGGTATTTAATGTTTTGACTATTCATAGTGAATTTTTTGCAGGATGAATTGAAAATGTATTGGGTTGTGTTTGGGATTGTTTTTGGAAATGTCTGTCTTAATCATGGTCTTAATTCACTGTCGGCAGAAGTAGTTTTCTTGAAGGATTGGCCTAAATATTCTGTGATTATACGTTTTTGGTTGGAAAGTGATTTTTTGCAGACATTTTCTGAAACTGGCAATGAGCTGCTTTTGGAAGGGAGTCTTCTTTTTTAAATATATCTATAAGATCACATAAGATGGGTAAAATCTTGAAGATTTGTAAGGTCATGAAGCCATATTAGAATGACAATTTTAAGTTGAACAAAATTTTAGAAACTCAGTGAAACATTCTTAGTTTTGCTATCTGACTAAAATTGGTACTTTGTCCAAGAGACTTCCCCACTTTGGCAGATTTCAGGTTTTCTGGCCCCCTTCAAAGTTTATTTGACCATCCAGAGTAAGACCATTTCTGAACGATGGTTGAGTGTCTATTATCTCCAGCTTGTCTGAAGTGTGCAAGGCGCTGCTGGAGTACGAGTTCCTCAGCACTGGCTACCGAACAACTTACTTGCCTGCCCTCAGTTATAAGCCTTCGCAGGAGGAGCGAGTTTCTCTGCAGGTAGCTTCGTGATAGAAAACTTCACATGGATTTCGCTTTTCATGTTAGGTCCTCCTTTCATTGCCCATCCTGCTTCAGAGACTGACATTTCAGGGTGAACACTCAAAGTGGATATTAATTTTCTTCTTGGTGTATTTCTATCCCTGATGTGTCTTATAGCTGAAATACAGGACAAGTGCCATATTTTTATGCATTCAGTGGTTTTCTTTGGGATTACGATCTGTTCCATTTTTCTTCTTGATATGTTGAGGTATGTCTGCTTTTTAACCAAACTGTGAAGTAGTGGAGATCATGAAATACATGTGCCTGGCTGGTTGGCAAATAATACATGGAGCACCTTATTTGCGTCCCTTTTTGGAGAAGGTATGATGAGAATGGGCAAGGGTGTCAGCATTTCTTCCTAATTGTTTTCTGTTTTGGTTCATGAAGAATGCTTAGTTTGTTAATCTGTGATGTTGCCTAGAGCTGTATTTATCTGTTTTTATTTATACTAGTATAGTAAAGCTGCATATCATTACAGTAAAAATGATTACTGTGATGAGTTAATCAGAATATCTATTAAAATCTATATGACAATGTGTGGTTTGCCCTTCAATTATACGTACAAACCCTCCACTTTTACTCTTTTTGCAGTGTAGGCCAGTATGTCTGGTACAAGCAGCCTTAAAGGGGTGATATATATGTAAAGCTTCTCTCAGATTACAGAGCCATTAACGCACGGTGCAAGCAAGGAGCAACCAAACAGCAGCTGCTGGATTGAACAGCAGGCTATATACATACCAGCAATAGTACAGAGCCTCCTCGTCAGTGCAAGTTGCAAGTTTACAGAAAGATTTCATTTCTGTTTACTTTCAAAAGCATGTTATTTACTATTTTTAAATATATTTTTATTGATTTCAGAGGGGAAGGAAGAGGGAGAGAGAGAAACAATGATGAGAGAATTACTGATTGGCTGCCTCCTGCATGCCCCCTGCCTGGGACTGAGCCCGAACCCGGGCATATGCCCTTGACCAGAATTGAACACTGGACACTTCAGTCTGCAGCAGTGGTTCTCAACCTTCCTAATAACGTGGCTCTACAAGACCATCGGAAAACACAGATATGTACATTATGATTCATGACAGTAGTAAAATTACAGTTATGAAGTAGCAACGAAGATAATGTTATGGTTGGGGGTCACCACAACATGAGGAACTGTATTAAGGGTCGCAGCATTAGGAAGGTTGAGGACCAATGGTCTGCAGGCTGACACTACAACACAGAGCCAAACCAGCTAGGGCAAAAACCATGATTAAAAAAAAAAAAGGTAAAATGTGATTTACATTTTAAAATTTTACCTTGGAAAGTTGCTACTTAAAACTGCCTAAAAAGAAATGGCGACATTTGAATTGTTAAAAGATTTCAGGAGTCTGCTAATATTAAACTTTTAGTAAAGAGGCAAACACTTTACTAAAAATTCAAGGAGAGAACTTTTATTCATTTGATCATTCACTAAGTAGTTATTGAACACTTACTGTGTAATAGGCATTATTCTGTCTTTGAAGCTTACATTCAATTTGGGAAAGACACACAATATGGTTTTCCAGGTGGTGGTAAAAATCATGAGTTAAGTGGAAAAATGATTCCCACACATCGTTGTAGGCATACATAAATCAGACAAGAGTTCCAAGGGAGTGAAGTAATGAAGAGGGTGCTATTTTTGGAGAGGGTGGGATACGTTTCTCAGCAGAAACGTAAAGAAAGCGAGGGAATGAGTTATTTGTGAGAAGAGGAAATATATGCAGCATCCTGAAGTGCAGGACATGCCTGACAGATAACTGGGAACACTAAGCAGGTCATTGTGGCAGGAGGAGAGGTATAAGATGAGAAAACGGGTTGGGTAAGAACTTGGCCTTTATCCTGAATAAAGTGGGACGGCAGTGATGCAGTAGGTGATCCCTGGCTGCTTTGCTGGGAATAGATGGGAAGGGGCAGGGTGGAAGTGGGAAGACCACTTGGAACAAAGGCTCTTGGAATAACAAGTAAGTTCTGATAGGGTTTGGAACTGGTGGGAGCTGTTCAAGTGGTTGGATTCTAGACATTTTGAAGGTGGAAGACACAGGATTTGCTAACACTGAAGGTGGACTGATAGGACTTAAAGGTTGTCACCATAGTTTTTGGCCTGAGCCCAGAACAGTAGAATGGCTACTGACTAAAGTGGGAAACACGTCACAAAGGATAGATGGGGGATGTATACAGCAGAGCAATTTTGGTTTTAGGCATTAAGTTTTAATTGCCTTTTAGACTTCTAAGTGGAAATGTCAAGCAGGCAGTTGTACATATGAGACGAGTTCAGGAGAACAAATGTAGCTTGAGATATTTAGATAGACATTGGGATGTATCCTGGAACAGGAAGTGGTCACCATGGGAGCAAGTGGACAGAAAAGACTGAGAACTGATGCATTTGCATGTTTGGGTTTGAGATGAGCCAGTGAGGTAGGATGGGGAGTGGTGCCATTAAGGGAAGGGTAGCCCCCTGAGCTAAACAAGTACTAGTTTTAAGGAGGTCAAGTAAATGAGGACGGAAAATAAGCCAGTGTGGAGGTAAGTTTGACCAAAGCAGTTTCACTGGAATCAGGACAAGTCTGACTGGAACAGTGTTGCCAGAAATTGGAAGGAATTAAAAGCAGCTATTAGAGCTCCTGAGATTTTCAGAAAAGGGATGTGTGATAAAAGGTATTTTAAGATGCAGGACATTATAGCTTTCCTTTCTGATGGGAATGTATGAGGGAAGTTGATAAACTAAGGGATCCTTGAGTAGCTAACG